TTATTTGGCTCTGTTCAGTTCTTCAATTGGATGATGAAGCTCTACTAAAAAACCCTAAAAAGCAAAACTTGGAAAATATTTAATAAAAACAAAAAACAAAAGTTAGACAATTGAATGACAAATATAAAAGTAATCAGGAAGAGAAAATAAAGCATCAGAACAAAAAAACTTATTCAATTGAATGAAAGATTTGACAAGTACCAAATGGCAACACACCAATTGACCTTTTGAGTGTAGACATGTATAAACACTTATCAAACATTAGGGTTTCCTTTAGGGTTTCTGAAACCCAGGAAAGATAACTTTTTCAAGCTATATATAACCACGAACACATTAATATAATGAGAAAATTAAAATTTAACGGAAAATAATAAAGAACTCAAGCATAAGAGGTGAAAATCAGTACCTTTGTCCCTCTGCTTATCTTCCAATTGCGGGTTTAACGGGAAAGGAGCTGATCGGTTGCCTTCCTTTGGAAGTTGGGAGATATGAGACAATGAAGAAGATGAGAGGCAGCACCAGACACAGAGTGGGAGCGGGAGCTTAACAAGGGTTTGAGTCTCTTTTATTTATTTATTATTTTTATTTTATGAGTAAGGGTTTTTTTTGGGGGGTCAATTATAAGTAAGGGTTTGAGTCTTGAATCTTCATTCTAAAAATCCACAAAAATCACTACTTTTTCGTTACAAAAATCACTATTTTTTTTTTTAATGAGAGAAAGCTCTCACCATGTGTTAGGGCAAACCCACAACCTCTAGCCGGAATTACTTACGTATGACACTCAACTGCTAGTTGTCACATGTATAAATTTATGTATGAAATTATAGATCGCGCCAATGAAGACTGCTGGCAGTGGGACTCAAACACTAATGGGGCAACACACAATACATGGATCTTACCAATTGAACCAACTCTCATTGGCAAAAATCACTACTTTTCAATTCCCTTAAAAATTGAAATTTTGAATGATTATTTTTGCCAAATTATGATTCAATACCACCAAATTACTATTTTTTAGATTTGAATTGGATATCCATTATGTACAATGAGTTATTAAAATTTATTTGTTTTTCTCGTTTCCTTCTTATTTAAATCTTGACATATATATATGAAT